CCTCAACTAGAGAATGTAGAAGAAAGCTAAACAGACTGTTAGAAAGCGCAAACCTTCCGCTTTCCAAAACTGTCTTCTTTTTTCAAGATCTACGAAATTAGAGAGATATTGCCTTTTAAGTGGCAAAAACTCGCATGAAAATTTCAGCATCCTCGACGCTCCCTCGACAAAATTTGAGAGACCCTATCTCTTCGAGTGTAAAGATTTTAGATCAATTTCAATATTGCCCGGTAGTAGCAAATCCAGCTCTATCTAACCCTACCACATACTGCTCCAAAGGTTATGAAATGGGGGAATGGAACCTTTTCATCGAGAGTGTAGATTTCGACGGTTTCGAGCGGGGTTTCGGCAAATCTGACCCACGGATAAACCGCGCTGCAACTGAATGCTTTGCTGTACATTGATGGAACTCGCTTATTCACATCAAATCAAAGTTAGAGGGGTCGTATCAAGACCCCGATCTGAGGGGGGGGGTCGTACTGATGGGACCACGTCCTCGACACGATTTTCACCCCGCTGCAAAGCCTATAGCATCATGCTCTACAGTCTCAACCAATTCCATTCAGTTATTGATAAGTTACGCTATTTTATCCACTTCGTCCTTAAGTTTTGCACACCAGTGTATTATGCAGACAGAAATTACGTGAAAGACACTTCTCTAGTAGTTGAAGCTCAATCCTAGAGCTTAAGATTGAAAAGAACGAATACATCACCAAACCTACTGTAAAGAAGATGGACTCAAGGCAATGTATATATCATCCAGAACCATCCGCTGATGCCGTATTCGGTCTAACAAAACGGATCCTAATTGGATGGCTTTGAAGTTTTCCAACGTCAATACACGTAAAGAAGGCGTCACTATCCTCTAAAATTTTCACTCTTAAAAATGATAAACAATATCAAAATTTACAGGAGATTCATGGTCCCAGTTCAGCATGCCACTTCAAAGTTTTTAAAATTGTCCAGTACAAGAACAGTCCAGGCCCAGTTGAAAACGTAGCGCTCAGTATCAGCTTTCGGAAACCTTTTCATCTCATAGGGTACGCAGCCGCCAACGCCCCTGCCTCGAGTATATCGCGACGACGTGTTATACTCGAGGCAGTGACTACTTGGGACAATCCTACCACTTGAGGACAAAAATGGTTAAACCATGTTCGGCGAAGCATCTTCACGAATGCCTGCAATTTTCATCATGTGCTCCAGATCAAGAAAACGTTTGTGTCTAGAAGTGATGTTCATCATGCTTGTCAGTTCTTTTGGGATCGTTCTTCTCTTCCTGACCAGTGTAAGCTTGTGCTCAGAAGGATTTGCTTGTTATTTCTGAACTACGTTTCTGATGACAAAACGGTACATGACACCGCCTCTGGTGGGAAGTAGTGTAATGGATGTTGTGCTTTTAACACACAGACACAATACGGGGATCATATCCTTCATTATAACCCGCCCCGCAACCGAGTACCCATACTCTTCTAAAATCGGTAATTATAAATTACGAAAAAAAAACACTGACCGGCATATACGCACGCCTTGAAAGCGTTGGGGAAAAGGTACAGCCGCCTGTCAAAACGCCAATAGGATCTGAAATGAAAAGCAGTCTCCGCATCACCAAAGGGACAGGCTAAGTGCCGAAGTATAGCAGCCCAATGAGTGATACAACTGTGGATTTATTCATCACGTCGGTTCCAAATGGGAATGTTGGTCTGCTCGCGTTTCTGATGATCCAACATGCTTCAAGCAATCGCAATTCGTTGAAAGTGCGCACCACGGCAACTGGTGTGGCTAGTTGCTGGCAGTTTGGTGCACAGAAAAAACGACTGCTCTATACGGAGAAGAGTAGGAGGCAGGTAGCGAAATAAGATGACCTGAGTCGCGAAGGGGAAAGAACTCGGGTCGAGCGAGCACGTCCGACCAGCCACTGCGACACAGAGAAGATTCGAACGGTGAGAGGATACGATTCGACGAGGTGTCGGCGGATCAAAATCGTAGGCGCCAAGGTCTTCAGTGAGGGGCTACGGAGTGCTAAGTTGTCGCGACATTTACAGTTGTGCACCTAGCACCTCCACACAAGGGGGAGGGACCTCCTCAGTGAAATGAATCCGTCCTTGCCTTTGATATCACAAGTCGAGCCCCTCACTCCACCTCCAGCACGTCAAGTGTGAAATTTCAGACCTTATTGCTTTTCTGTGGAATGAATACTCGAAGTGATGATGGTCGTGAGGGAATCGATATTACACACTTCTTGATGCTATTGATTATACGACGTCACGTTTGTGTTCCTGTGCCTGAACATACGGCTCACCTGGGTGTTGAGGGCAAGGTGTAACTCCCAGCTCACACCGAGTTCTTTTCAACGAGCTTCTTGAGCAGCACCATAAAACACCATGAAAACAGCACAAATTTCATTGTAAATAACATTTGTTGCTATCAACTTCCACATGTCGATGGTCTACTCTCTGATGGTCGTCGGTGTTTTAATGAACTACCCATTCGTAAGGAGACAGCTGAACGGTAGCATTGCTTCTCGCACGCTTACTTTGGTGGAGGTGCGTGCAGCCGACAATGATCAAGGGCTCGAGCAGGGTAAAACCTGACGGTGGGTTGAGGACTGAAAGAACGGATAGCTGCGTTCAGACGGACGCAGTATGCCCGATCATTGTGGCCTAGTGTGCATAGAGATCACTGCACACTGTTTGCTCTCGGCTCATTCCTCATGGCACAGGTGCTCGACCCGTCGATGATGTGATCATGTCCGCCCATTCGACGTAGGGATCGCTCTTTATTCGACACTCTTGTATAGAGCGGAGCGAGAGCATCACTGGCAGAGGCGACACCCTTATCCAGGGGTCTCGGTGATGAGCGGAGCAGTGGCAACGCACAGCTAAAGCCAATACTGCACTTTCCGGCCGGAAATCGGTCTTTGTCTCGCGATACCGGAACTACTGTCGCAGGAATGAAAAGAGAGATCGTTTGATAGGTGGTGCCATGAGACGGCCTCACTGGCCTTTGGTCCACGACCTCTTACACGATCTCCATTCCCCAGTCCTGGCTAGGGAGCTTCTTCAGAGCCCCACCAAAGCGCAGTAGCATTAGCTGTCGAGGGCAGTACGGCGTGAGCGTGCTGTGCCAAAAGCACCGCCGTTTACTGCTTTTTGGAAACTCCACCATTCAAAAGACAAAATAAAAACAATCAATTACCGAAAATCCTGAGATCAGTGAATTCACGTCGAACCAAACACTGCAGATAGATAATTCTTGTATGCGATGAGGGAGAGAACATTCATCCGAAGACACTATAAAATGAAAGCATGATCAAAAGGTATTTATCTGCAGAGATGATCACAAAAATGAACACCCTTCAACTAAAACAACAACAAATGTGTAAGAAAATATATTTTCACTCATTACATAACGATATGGTCCTATTATGAAAAAATTCACTTTTGGTGTCTGCATGGATTGGCACTAATTTATCGCGAGAGATTTTTCCCACAAAATTCAGTAATCATAAAAACTCAGTATTCTTCAATAGAGAAAAACAAACATTTGGTTATACGACCACTCAAAAAAGTGATGCAGTCGCTTAAATAATGGTGCATACGTGTTTCTGT